CCCCCCCCCCCCCCCCTGTGCCCTGCACGTCGCCGGCCAGTCTCCCCCCCACACACTTCTCAAGCCGCTGGGAGGGCTGGGTGGCATGTGGGGTCTTCTTTGCCCGCGAGCCGGACTGTCTTCGCCCGCGGCCAGCTCCAATTACACCCCCACCACTCCGACCTCGGTCTGGCTCGGGCGCGTCCACAGCCACAGCCCGAATGCTGCTGGGAGCCTCCACCCTGCCTGCCCAGGACGGGGCCTCCTCCGTTCATGCCTCCCAAAGCTCTCTCCACGCGGCTGTCCTCCGCTCAGTCTTTTTTTATTATTATTCGTTTTAAAATAATCATTAACAACAATGAACATCAAAAGCATTAAACAAGCAACAGCAAGAGATAAGGATCAAGTAGCCTCAAAAGTCTATTACGTAACAGTAAAAACTATTTTAACATTTTTGAACATCTATCAGCCAATAATGAAGAGTGTGAAGTGCTGGTAATTATGCTACCTCTGTCAGAAAAGCGAGGGTGAGGACTAGATTAGAACTGGATCTTAGATGCAGAAGACTTTTGTATGTATCTCAGAGTGTACAGTAGAGAGCTAGAAGAAAAGCCAAGAAGAGTAAGTAGTCACAGTTTCCCACGCCTCCTTCTCTGCTCCCTCGGTAACTGCTGCTGCTGACGGCTGCCACCGCTGGGGCCTTAATGGGGGTGGGTGGGTGATGGGGTGGCCAGCCTTGATCGGGGGGGGTCAGAGAGCCTCCCCCCGTCTCTTTGCCTTCCCTCCTCTCTCTCTCTCACTTTCCTTCCTTCTTCCTTATTTCCATCCCTCTTTCCTTCCTTCTTTCCTTCTCTCTCTCTCCTTCTTTCCTTCTTTTATTCTCTCTCTCTCGCTCTCGCTCTCGCTTTCCTTCTCTCCTCCTTTCCTTCTTCGCAGATCTCTGTTCCCCCCCCCTCCATAGCTAGCAATCCAAGACAGTCCCCTGGCACCTTTAAGAGCAAGGTTTTTCCAGATAAACACTCTCCCTCCACGGTGATGGCAGATCTGCGTGTCCCCCCCCATAGCTACCAACCCAACACAGTCCAGTGGCACCTTTAGGACCAAGTTCTATTCAGGTACAAGCTCTCCCTCCTCTGTAAGGGCAGATCTGCATGTCCCCCCCCCCCATGCCTACCAACCCCAAAGAGAGACCTGGTAGTGGAGCACAGGGAAATTAAAGACAGAAAGCGGGACCTGACCTGTGAGACTCACTTCACTTACAATTCCTTTCCTGACCTATCAGGCTTCACACCTATTCTCCACTGCCCCCTACTCCAGTGAGAGTCTGAAGCTGTCTTAACAGTGTAGGATCACTAGATTACCTACCTCTGCACCATCTAATCCTACTGGTGGCAGATTCCCCACTACACTTACCCTGGAGACAATGCTGACTCTGTCACTATACCCTGCTCAGGTTGCCACCGCGGATTGACACTGACTGCCCACAGCCGGGGCACTCTCCCAGAGCCTCTTTCTAGAGATTGTTGTCTTTATTTCCACAACGGGCCTTCTTCCTAATCAAGAATAATTGTGAGGATTCCTCCAAATAAGAACCAAGGGAAATGAAGGAAGCGAAAGAATGTCCTTCAGTACACCCTGCGAGTGCAGACCATTGGCCACTGCCTGCCCAGCATTCCCTGTGATACCCGTGCATTTACAAATGCCGCTTGCCCTCAGTTTCGTAGAAAAGAAAACTCTTGAGTGTCAGGAGAAAGCATTGGCATAATTTTAGCAGCAAAAGCATCTGCCAATAACATTTCTATTTGTGAATATTCAAGGGAATGACACGATCATCCAAGTTCACAGTCATTTGGAAAGAGAGAAAGGAGGTACTTCCATACATTGCAAACAAGTAGCCATTGCAGCCAAAACAAAAACAGGAGGCGTCCCATGGCACCTTAAACACTTCACACATCTTGTTGGGGTATAACTTTTTGTGGACTGAAGTCTGTTGTCTGCTAATGGAGGATCCACATCATGCAACCAGCAATCTGCTTCCTGCATCCACAAAAGCTTATGCCCAGTAAAAGTGTGTATAGGATGCCACAAGTCTCCCCCCAAAAAACCATTTAAAATGACCCTTAGCAAGAGTTGGAAGGAAAGAGCTTTGGCATTCAGCAATGGCTCGTTTTGTCAGGCTTCAGATCAGTATCAGGTCTGTAGTCCTCTTGTTTCCTGTTCCTCTTCTGCAGAAGTCCATTGTTTACATTTTGGGGCTGTTCACCATGAAAGCATCTCTTGGGCAACCTGGTCGTCTCTTCTGCAAATGTTTACTGCCATTCCCTTTGTGAGACAAAGCGCCAGTACCAGAGGCAAGTGTGCCTCTTGGTATCCGTTGCTGGGAAGCACAGACAGGAGGATGTTGTTGCAGTCATCCTGCTCGTGGGCTTCCCAGAGGCAGCTGGTCAACCACTGTATGAACCGAATGCTGGACTCGATGGGCCGTGGGTCTGAATCAGTACGGCTCTGCTTATGCTCTTACATGCCAGACAGCCCCAGTCCTCTCCAGGGCTTCGGACAGCCACCCCATGTCCTCCCTCAGAGGAGGGTTCCCTCTCCCCCACACAGGCCCACACTCTTTCCTGTGAAAGCCAAGTGCAGGACTTGCCTAGACTTCCAGGAAGACCAGGACCACTGGAATTTTGTCCCCCAAATCCCTATCCTTATCAAGGGGGAGGGATTTCTGGGTGATGTATGTCCCCACCTCTTTGTTGAGAGACTGACAGTGAGTTTAAGCAACAGTGAGTTTAAGAGCAAAATTTACCCCTCTAAATACCACCCTGCTTTGTCTTTAAGCAGGTTTAGAAAGGCAATCTGAAAAGTCTCGGGGATGCTCCATGGCATCTTTTACATCGTGGGCTTGTGTGCAAAAGAA